TAAAACTTCATCTCGCATCCTACGCGCGTTGTTTGTGCACAAGACGTTCGCTCGTGTGCTGGGCTGGTTGAATTCAAGATCGTTTCACATGGCGTTGAGGAACTTTCCGCGTTCCAAAAGGACGTTGGTCGGAGGGTTGAAAAAAATGGCCGACAGAAAAAGCTTGCAGTGATTTCTTCGTGATAACGCGGATTTATTACTCGCTGGATCTCTGTGGCTTCGCAGTTTTGGCATTCCAGTTTTAGTTCCCGAGGTACTTGGAGAACGTGACTAAAACGATTCGGTTCTCTGGTCGTGCGAGATGAATATTAGTTTGTTGCTCGCGTTGAACGAGTATACGGTATAGTATAAAAAGTATTGTACCGATTGTATTGATCGAGTCCAAATTAAACGATTAATTGAAAATTTCGTTCCGTTTCGATAATACAGTAGGGGACAAACGGACAAATAACGCGAGAAGTAAGAACTAAATTTGGAAACAGGCACCATTGTCACCTGGCATTGAATGGAGAAACATATTTTGCTAAACATCTTACAATGACGATTTTGTAAAAATTCATGTCGATTTCATTCATTAAAAATCGTTCATTGATCGAAAATTGAGATTTCACTTCAGAATCAATTTTCATTTCAGTCCAGTATAATGTTTTATCTAAGGATAAAATCAAAAGGAAAAGAAAGTTGAGAATTACAATAAATATCCTTCAAAGAATTACAATAAATATCCTACAAATAACTTGAAGATAACGCATAAGCAAATAAAAGATACAATGGTTACATTTCTCTCTCGACGTGACTTTGTCGCTCGATATTTTTCTCGAAAATACATTCGATGTATTGAGATCTGCAATTTTCAAATGAATATTCTTTGTAATTACTTGTGATTTTTCTTCGATATGGTTGAAGAATTCGTTTAAAAGTGAATCGTTTTTACGTTTAAATAGATAGATTCAACAAGTAGGAATTTACTCAATCAGACAGTATTTAAAATTTCGTTCAAACAAATGGCGATTGTATTGTTTATATCATTACAGAAATTTGGTATTGTGAAAATCGAATGTGACGAACGTTTCATCGAAAGATGAAGATACCGATTTTTCCCGCAGCCACTAGAATACGAGGAACGTTACGTAAATCGGTGTACAGGATTTATTTTTCGGATTATGACCGGTGGAATGCGCGCAGCGACCTGATCTAATCAGATATTTATGGCACCTTGACGTTATCTTTGATTCAACGCGCGTACCATTTCTTCTCGCAGCATGCTCCAGATTTGCTCGCGAGAGCGCAGAAACCTTGAGGACTAGCGATGCATCGCGAAACTACGAACAATAGTGCTTTTGCTTCACGATGACGGCCGATAAATCGTGGATTATGAAAGTGAGAAAAAGAATTTCTAAAAAGAAAGAGATTTCGCGATAACTGGAATTTATTTGGCCTTTTGCACCTGTCTTGTGCTGTCTTGAAATTTAAACCTCCAGCGGCGAGAGCGAACGAAGCGTATTCCGTACATCAAAAAATCTCGCGCGGATTTTTTCGTTCTCGCTTTCACGTCCCTTTCTCACCGCCACTTTATGCCCTCTTTCAGTTGATAAATAAACCGAGAACGCTTGCAAGAGTAATCGCCGAGATTTTGGACGAGAGAGAGAAAGAGAGACACGATTAATTATTTCGTGCATATAACCGACGGTACATTGCAACAGGTAGTCGAGTAGGATAACGCCATAATTCTAGTTACACGCCTCTTACGCTTTATCGCATAGGTGAATCGCGACGCAGGACAGGCAGACTTCCGCGAGACGAGTCGACTCGACTCGACGAGACGAGACAAGACAAGAGACGATGAAGATGAGAGATGCACGAGAGGAAACTAACGCGACTAACCGCACGTGTTCCGAGCTGGATCGTGGATCACGGCGCTTGTTACAGAGGTACGAATCTGAATCGGTCTGCCTCGCGTAATTCAGATTCTCACGAACTCGCTGGAGATAAGAGGGACGAAGAATGGCTCCGGTATCGTCGGCCGATTCGCGTTAATTACGCGTCCGTGTAATAACGACCAAGGTCTTCGACGCGATTAATCAACTTGCCCACCGCGCCGTATATAGACGCGAGAATAATTGAACTTTTTGACTTGGCATCACACTCTGATGATGTCGTTCGAGCAATAAAGAGACACGTTGCGATTGTTTCTTGATCGAGTCGATACATTGATTCCGCGAATTTGAGACGATTTGTTCCCAATTTTTGTATGAATACCATATTTTTTACAATGTTTTGTAAGAAATTACAAAATATTGTAATTCATAAGGTATTAACAAGAAGGGGTTAAATTAAAACTATTTCCCGTTTATAGGAAATTCTTAGTTAATAATATAAGCTTGATATGCAAGAATCTTCATTCTCCTGAGAAATACTATGCGTAAGAGAGAGATGGATAGAATTAAATTAAAAATTATCTAGAAAATACGAGAGATTATTTATTGCATGCAATAGGGGTTTAAGGTAACACGAACTTTTATAAATATATTTTACAAAAAAAAAAAAAAAATCATCTCGATCTAAAAACGTATCGTTGTAAACCTATAAAATTTCTATTGATTCTACTGTTAAAAGAACGAAGAATAACGAGCATGTCTCTTTGATTCGTTGCTAAATGGGATAATACGTTTATGAAAATCATCTTGACACGCGATTAAAAACCGGGATCGGTCGGTGTGTCCCTTTGTTGTCGGTCGCTTATCAGGCCCCCCGTTTTCACCTCTCTCGTGCTTTCAACCAGCGAGTCTTCGTGGAAGCTAGGGTTCCACGACATCCCGGCGGTGTTCCGCACGACTACTCCCCATTTATCGCGTCCGACATGCGAGAATATCACCGCGAAGCAACCGAGAGCCAGTCATCGTGCCATTAATTAGCCGGTTGACGCCTAGAAACAGGAATTCATTCCGGGGTCAGGCATTATCAATTGCTTTTATCGTTTGCCGAGACCGTTACGGCAGGGCACGTTCCACCGGCTGCAAATAGAGTACGATGCACCCTGCTGGGCGCGACCAGCCTCCGCCATCTCTGATAGCGAAATCCTTCGAAATCCTGGAAAACCAATGATCGCATCGTCGTTCATCTCGTCCGTGATTCCGTTATGAAATTCTCTACGATCGAATGGGATACTCTACACGTGCTGTAGGTATTCTGTGCATGGCCGCGGACTCTGGTGATAAAACAGGACCAACGTAATTCCGACTGCCGTGTCGTTTAAAGCAACTGAAAGGGAAATTTATTACACGCGGGATATTACATCGTGGCGTACAGAGTGGAAAGGAATACTTTGTCGACTTTGTATCCTATATCCTGGGAAACTGAAAGAATTAATCTCGACTCATGTTTCATTTCTTCTTTCAAAGTCTTCTTCTTAGTTCAGATTCTTCGAAAATTTCCCTCCCTACTTGACCACCGAGACTTTTCTGCCGGAAAACAAGCTAGAGTATTTGACATACCAGTGAACGTAATTTATTTAAATAGATAAACTGACGAAAGCCAGATGGGGATCTGACTGTCTCGCAGTCGAAGATAAGAAAAGATACTCTTTGAACGATCATGACTGTTTCATCACTGTTTATACAATCCACGACAATTACACAAAACGTAACGAACACGAAAGTAAAGAGTCGTATCGGGAAGAAACGTGGAAGATAAGAGGAAATTGAGCGGCGAGAACGTACGAAAGAACCGTCGGCCCGGCGCGGCGCTCGGCTCGCTCGGCTTCCCCGTGAGGGGAACGAAAGACGTGTAAGGCCCAAAGGGGAATAAGTCCCGATCGCCATGGTAACCGGTGTGGACTCGGTCCCGTCGCGTCTCACCGTCGTAGATCGTAGAATTTCGATCCGGTTCGTAGGAGTCCGTCCGTACTCGGGCATTTTCGTAGGAGCGAGGCCAACCGGTCGGCGGACGCAGTCTCCGCGCGACCAGTTCGATTCCGCACGTAGCCAGTGATCGGTGCTCGCGGCGTGTACGTGTCGCGTCGCGTTTCTACGCTCCAATCTTACGATCTCGGGACGTGTGTCTCGTGTTTC